GAATAGAGTATGTGTTAATTATGGGATGATGAATAGAGCATGTGTTAATTATGGGATGATGAATAGAGCATGTGTTAGTTGTGGGATGATGAATAGAGTATGTGTTAGTTGTGGGATGATGAATAGAGCATGTGTTAATTATGGGATGATGAATAGAGCATGTGTTAATTATGGGATGATGAATAGAGTATGTGTTAGTTGTGGGATGATGAATAGAGCATGTGTTAATTATGGGATGATGAATAGAGCATGTGTTAATTATGGGATGATGAATAGAGCATGTGTTAATTATGGGATGATGAATAGAGCATGTGTTAATTATGGGATGATGAATAGAGCATGTGTTAATTATGGGATGATGAATAGAGCATGTGTTAATTATGGGATGATGAATAGAGCATGTGTTAATTATGGGATGACCGTACATAGATAAACGTACCGTGAAACGGGGTGACTTTGCCTACTTTTGACCTTTAAGCATAAATTTCAACATGTTAACTGATCTAAAAACTAACACAAAGGGGCTAATGTACAGAGTGGGTACCTGCACTTCGTTGTTATAGCTGAATTAAGTCATAGTTTGATCAGGTTAAGTTGATAATTAAGTTTTTTTTTGAGATTTTTCAACCTAAGGAAAAATGGGGTGACTTTGCCCTTTTAAGGTGAAAGACAGCACAATGCATGTAGAAATTATAAAAGCAAGCAAATAAGTTATTTTCTTTTCTGCATTTCCTGTTTGATCATAATATTTTATTGTAATGAAAGGTTGGAAGAAAATATCAACACCAGTTCACATAAAACTATCTATATCTATATTTTTGAGGCAAACCTTCGTCACAGGTTTTCGCATTTACTCCATGTAATGAAAGTTTTAATTTGTGAATTTGTCACAGTAGACTGTAACTGTAATAATAATATCTTTCCTATTATCTCAGCTTATATCTTTGGCACATAACATCCTCATCTCGTTGTACAAAATCCATTCACCAAGTCATCTCGAAGATTTTTATCGTGGAATCGTTTCACCGCAAGTTCGCCGTCATCAAGATTGGTCCATAATAAAAAATTTAGGCCAAAATATAAATTGTTTCTGTTTGAGGCATTCCAAAATCTGATAATGTCTTTAGGTGCTTTACTAAGTTGACTTTAATTCATCTGGCAAAGAGCTTGCCCTCCAGTTGTTTTCTTGTGGCTACAGTAACATTGACTAAGTTCAAAGAGTTATTAAATCAATGGTGTCTTTCACTTATAGATGACTTCTATAGGCCTGGTAGTAGTTATCTTTTACAATTCACACTTATCATTAAGCTGAGTGTCTTCAATATAGCCTCCAATAGCTTCTGTTAATAGGAATTATCTTGATAAGTCATGGCATTATCATCATCATCTGGAAAAACAAGAACAAATAGAGAAATCAATACAAAAATCATTGTATCAGTCCGTGGGGTGACTTTGTCCCTTGCTGTGAAAGAAAAGCAATGACGATTTATTCAACTTCAACTTAACTAACAGAGTAATGAACCTTTTTAGCACTGAAATTTATACACATTAAATGGATAGGTAAATAAATTATAATACCTTAAAATGAAAGTTTAAACTCACCTAAATCAGCAAAATATCAATGTCCTGAGTCTAAGAGCTCAAACAGTCAAATCTCATGGTTTTGGCATGGTAAGGAAAGCGAAACAAGATAAAGCAACATGTCTGCTTTCATAGGAAGTAAAAAAATTAGGGGAAAGAACTCTAGAAATCATGAAAAACAACTTTCTCAATATAAGTATTTAATAGGCAAAGTCACCCCATGGTAGTGCCTCCCCCTCACTATGAGAGGAACAAAATCGGTAATCATTAGATTTTTTTTAAGAGAGAAATTTAATCAATAAAACATTTGTGTTGGTACTGTAAGACTATTATGGCTGCCAACAACTGAGTGTAACCAGAGACAGAAATGATTCTGTAACCAGACACATAAGTGATGTGCTAGACAAATCATACACATACAATTGCTGTATTGTGTGGTAAAAATAGAGTTACACACAAAAGTAGCACCTTGAGCAATGCAATTTTTTTAAAAAGGGGTTGGGGAAAAAAGAGGGGGGGGGGGGTGGGGTTTGGTATGAAAAAAAAAAACCATGAAAAAAAAAGGGCATTTTGATGAGATTAAAAAATTAGCTCATCCAATAGCACCTTGAGCAATGCAATTTTTTTAAAAAGGGGTTGGGGAAAAAAGAGGGGGGGGGGGGGGGGGTTTGGTATGAAAAAAAATAACCATGAAAGAGAAATGGCATTTTGATGAGATTCAAAAATTAGCTCATCCAAGAATGGCATTTTGACTAATTAAAATATTAGCCCATCTGAGAACGGCCAAAAAAAACCCCAAAACGTGAGTTTCGCAACAACACAAAATCTGTTAAAAATATTATTCTCTTTTCTCTTCTTCCAGTTTCAAGTAAGTAGTTTCCCCCCCTGGTCTTAAGTTAATGTACGGTATCCAAAACATCCAAAATGTATTTACACCAAAACTCTTTTTAATGTACAAGTCACAATGGTCAACATGGACACAACTGATCAGACAGGTATTGCGCAAATTATTAATATGGACACATCTTATCATACAGGTACACGTGTATGGGCCAGTGATTTACATTGGACACATCTTATCATATAGACATGTGTAAACATATTGCGTAATGATTAATATGGACACATCCCGTCATTAAAACAACATGATAAAATGTATGAGAATGATTTAAGAGCTGCGCCTATTGACCGGTGATCAGCTGTTTAGCAAATGAAACAGTAACCAGCTTCTTTTCTTTGGCTTATCAGTGCAACCCTTAATTAATGATATATTAGAGAGTGTCCAAATCAACATTGATAGATAAGGCAGAATAAAAATTTTAGCAATGATTATAGAAAATAATAAGTTTCATAATGATATATTTTAGACAGAATGAAATTCGATTTTAAAAAGAAAAAAAAACATGTAGCATGTATAGATATATATAAGGATTTGATGCAACAAGGCAACTATCATTATTTTTACATATCAGTATGGCCTGAAAGTTGGTGTACATACAGCAACTACACCGTAATCAGTTATGCACCAGGAATCACATATATCAAGAACATTTTCGGCATCCAGCCAAACAACATAGCGTATAATAGAAATTTTTTTTTTTTTTTTTACAAAGTAAAATAGAAATATGATCAAGGAAATGTGACAGGACTAGCAAAAGTAAAAGTCATTGTTTTCAATCTAGTTGCTAAAAATAGAGGGACTTTATGTTTTCTTTCTTTTGCTCATTTACAGAACATGTTTCATCTGCCATATTCAACAGCAATTTAGCACTCAATCGATACTCACTCTACATTCAGTCGATTATTTGAACTTTGGGCAACTCAACAGGTGTATCATTTGATGAAAGTAAAAAAAAAAAAACAAACAACAAGTCATTGGTCAATTGCATATCAGGAACAAAAACTAAGAAAACAGCAACACTATTGTCAACAATAGTCAAACAAAAAAACACTAAAAATTTGTTCCATGTTTGAAGGTGTGGAGATATGGCAAGTTTACAAGAAAATTGCTGGCTGGCCTTGACAATATCATGAAACATTGAAAATATTCGTATTTCGACTAGGTTGCAAAAAATATCAGACAGTTCTGAATAATTGGTATTTAATGCATGAACAGATAGGTGGCTAACAATGTTGTATAACAATAATTAAAGGAAAAATATTTATAGTATAGTTTTGTTTGGATAAACATCAAAAAAAAAAAGGAGATCTTACTTTTGCCCCCCCCACCCCCCCCTAAAAAAATTAACAATACAATAAAAAAAAATTAATAAGATATCATGGTCACCAGTAGTTTGTAAGTGAAAGAAAAGTCATGGCAATCCTGTATGTCACAGTCTGGTTCTGTGAGAATGTATAGCTATCAAAACCTTGTAGCCTCCAAGCTACAGTTATAAACCTGGCTTTTTTGGTCAGATACAATGGCTTCAAGCTTTTATAATGGACACAAGGCTTTCTACAATTGGTCTTGCTGGAAACAAACTTAACCGTTTAGATGAGGGTCAATGCATTTCTTGGCCCAACATTGGTTCATAGGAGCATCTGGTAGTCTCCCATAGAGTCATTGGTTCATTAGAGCATCTGGTAGTCTCCCATAGAATCATAGGTTCATAAGAGCATCTGGTAGTCTCCCATAGAATCATAGGTTCATAAGAGCATCTGGTAGTCTCCCATAGAGTCATAGGTTCATAAGAGCATCTGGTAGTCTCCCATAGAGTCATAGGTTCATGAGAGCATCTGGTAGTCTCCCATAGAGTCATAGGTTCATAAGAGCATCTGGTAGTCTCCCATAGAGTCATAGGTTCATAAGAGCATCTGGTAGTCTCCCATAGAATCATAGGTTCATAAGAGCATCTGGTAGTCTCCCATAGAGTCATAGGTTCATAAGAGCATCTGGTAGTCTCCCATAGAGTCATAGGTTCATAAGAGCATCTGGTAGTCTCCAAAAGCTGTTAAACATATCAGCAACAACTTCAGCATACTTTGGCTATGAAATCAAGCCCAACTTCAGGATACTTTGGCTACACAACCCCAAGCTCAGGATACTTAAGCTACTCATTCCCAACTTCATGATACTTTTGCAACACAATCAATCCCAACTTTAGGATACTTAAGCTACTCATTCCCAACTTCAGGATACTTTTGCAACACAATCAATCCCAACTTTAGGATACTTAAGTTACTCATTCCCAAGTTCAGGATACTTTTGCTACACAAGCCCAAGTTCAAAATCATTTTGCAACACAATCAACCCCAAATTCAGAATACTTTGGCTACACACTCAATCCCAAGTTCAGGATACATTGGCCACACAATCAATCCCAACTTTAGGATACTTTAGCTACTCAATCCATCTGAAATTCAGGATACTTTGGCTACACAATCCACCATTACGCTGGTACCATCTGCAAGAGAGATGATCAGCACAGGCCACAATGAAACTGGATATTCTCTTTCTGGATGACCTCCATGGGGCAGTCAACACACACCACATGGTACCACTGCTCACAGCTATCACACATCACCTGTGACAAGTCAACGAAACACAAATCATTGTCAAGTTCTTTAAACGTGTTGGGGGTGGGTGGGTGGGGAGGGGGGTTGGGAAGCACTGCCTCTTTCAGATTTATCTTATTTCTGTCATTGATATCTATAACCTTTTTAATTTTTGTCATAGATGTAAATAACTTTTTGTATTTTGTCATAGATACTTTTTGTACTGATTCTAAACAATTGACATCAACAGCCATGTTAGATCATTAAAATTGATAATAAGTCCTAGTTCAGATCTATCTACTGCCATGGTGTACACCTAGTTCAGATCTATCTACTGCCATGGTGTACACCTAGTTCAGATCTATCTACTGCCATGGTGTACACCTAGTTCAGATCTATCTACTGCCATGGTGTACACCTAGTTCAGATCTATCTATTGCCATGGTGTACACCTAGTTCAGATCTATCTACAGCCATGGTGTACACCTAGTTCAGATCTATCTACTGCCATGGTGTACACCTAGTTCAGATCTATATACTGCCATGGTGTACACCTAGTTCAGATCTATCTACTGCAATGGTGTACACCTAGTTCAGATCTATCTACTGCCATGGTGTACATCTAGTTCAGATCTATCTACTGCCATGGTGTACACCTAGTTCAGATCTATCTACTGCCATGGTGTACACCTAGTTCAGATCTATATACTGCCATGGTGCACACCTAGTTCAGATCTATCTACTGCCATGGTGTACACCTCATTCAGATTTATATAATTAGTTATGTCTGGAGATGTCTCAGATGACCATCACTAACATTGATTAGATAACTATAATTGTCTCAGATGACCATCACTAACATTGATTAGATTACTATAATTGTCTGAGATGACCATCACTAACATTAATTAGATTACTATAATTGTCTAGGATGACCATCACTAACATTGATTAGATTACTATAATTGTCTGAGATGACCATCACTAACATTGATTAGATTACTATAATTGTCTAGGATGACCATCACTAACATTGATTAGATTACTATAATTGTCTAGGATGACCATCACTAACATTGATTAGATTACTATAATAGTTTCAGATGACCATCACTAACATTGATTAGATTACTATAATAGTTTCAGATGACCATTGCCATCATTCATTAGGTGACTATAATAGTTTCAGATGACCATTGCCATCATTCATTAGGTGACTATAATAGTTTCAGATGACCATTGCCATCATTCATTAGGTGACTATAATAGTTTCAGATGACCATTGCCATCATTCATTAGGTGACTATAATAGTTTCAGATGACCATTGCCATCATTCATTAGGTGACTATAATAGTTTCAGATGACCATTGCCATCATTCATTAGGTGACTATAATAGTTTCAGATGACCATTGCCATCATTCATTAGGTGACTATAATAGTTTCAGATGACCATTGCCATCATTCATTAGGTGACTATAATAGTTTCAGATGACCATTGCCATCATTCATTAGGTGACTATAATAGTTTCAGATGACCATTGCCATCATTCATTAGGTGACTATAATAGTTTCAGATGACCATTGCCATCATTCATTAGGTGACTATAATAGTTTCAGATGACCATTGCCATCATTCATTAGGTGACTATAATAGTTTCAGATGACCATTGCCATCATTCATTAGGTGACTATAATAGTTTCAGATGACCATTGCCATCATTCATTAGGTGACTATAATAGTTTCAGATGACCATTGCCATCATTCATTAGGTGACTATAATAGTTTCAGATGACCATTGCCATCATTCATTAGGTGACTATAATAGTTTCAGATGACCATTGCCATCATTCATTAGGTGACTATAATAGTTTCAGATGACCATTGCCATCATTCATTAGGTTACTATAACTATGTTACATTTAAAATAAAGTTACCCCCCTCCCCCTCCATTTTTTGTATCCCCTAACATGGAGCCCTTTTAAAGGCATAAGGACCCTAACCTTGCAATACAGTGTTGGAACCCTGGTTATACTGCATTAAAACCCTGGTTATACTGCATTGAAACCGTTGCTATATTGTGCTGGAAAATACAAGGAGACACATCCCGGCCCCCCCCCCTTTCCGTTTCAGTTTCCAAGCCTACAACGCATTACTCACCCAATCCACCTTACTTCCTACAGGATTCAAGCACTTGGCGGCACTACACAGGTTATCATAGTACTGCACTCCGTCTGGTAGGCTCCAGTCTTCACTCGGCTCATTCATGTCTTCATCCCCTTCCTCTTCTTGACTCTCATCCTCCTCCAAGTCCTCCTCTGATGAGGTATCAGACATTTTCTTTCTTCGTTTGTTCTTTGGTCTGCCTCTACCTGAGACAGAAAGAAATATCCTCAGACCAAAGGAACAAGATTTGATGACACTGAGCGAGGCTACCTGCAAGCAGTATGCAACTATCTCATTGAGTGAGGCTACCTGCAAGCAGTATACAACTATGACACTGAGTGAGGATACCTGCAAGCAGTATACAACTATCTCATTGAGTGAGGCTACCTGCAAGCAGTATACAACTGTGTCATTGTGTGAGGCTACCTGCAAGCAGTATACAACTATGTCATTGAGTGAGGCTACCTGCAAGCAGTATACAACTATCTCATTGCGTGAGGCTACCTCAGTGCATGTAGCACTGAATCAAAATGGACCCAGACACGCAACACCGCCATTCGCACTCGGGTACCATTAGACTCAAGCTATTTGGATGTCATTTGCGGTAATTTATTTTAGTTAAACTGAAGAATTAAGTTTACAAACACATAGTCCATTGAATTATCTTTTATTTGATACCTCATTTTTCTTACAAACTCAGGAATAATATTTTAAATAGTTTTTTAATCCTAACCTCCCACTTCTGGTACCAGGGTACGAAAAGTCGCAGCCATTTTGTTTTGAGTTTATTGACAAAAGATAGACTTGATTGCCCTATGGCCTCTATCATTGGTTGGTCTATTCCATTGTATAGCATCGTCTCTATCATTGGTTGGTCTATTCCATTGTATAGCATGGTCTCTATCATTGGTTGGTCTATTCCATTGTATAGCATGGTCTCTATCATTGGTTGGTCTATTCCATTGTATAGCATGGTCTCTATCATTGGTTGGTCTATTCCATTGTATAGCATGGTCTCTGTCATTGGTTGGCCTATTCCATTGTAAAGCATGGCCTCTATCATTGGTTGGTCTATTCTATTGTAAAGCATGGCCTCTATCATTGGTTGGTCTATTCTATTGTAAAGCATGGCCTCTATCATTGGTTGGCCTATTCTATTGTAAAGCATGGCCTCTATCATTGGTTGGTCTATTCTATTGTAAAGCATGGCCTCTATCATTGGTTGGCCTATTCTATTGTAAAGCATGGCCTCTATCATTGGTTGGCCTATTCTATTGTAAAGCATGACCTCTATCATTGGTTGGTCTATTCTATTGTAAAGCATGGCCTCTATCATTGGTTGGCCTATTCTATTGTAAAGCATGGCCTCTATCATTGGTTGGCCTATTCTATTGTAAAGCATGGCCTCTTTCATTGGTTGACCTATTCCATTGTAAAGCATGGCCTCTATCATTGGTTGGTCTATTCTATTGTAAAGCATGGCCTCTTTCATTGGTCAAGCAAAGGACAAAGCAGTTTGGTGCTGGGGAACCCAAAAAGGGTTATTAATGGCTTATTATTAACATGTTTACATAATAAAACAATTGACCACACTGAACAGAGCTTTTAGCCACAAAAAAGTTTTTTCACAGCTGACGTGGTTCATACAACAACCGACCAGCGGGCTATATTCAATTGACCACATATGCCGACTGCGATAATTGAGCATAGAGCTGAGGAGTTACCTTTCTTGGACGGGGACCTTTTCCTCTTTCTTTTGGTCGTTGAGCTTGTGGATGAAACTGAGCTGTTCCTGGACAGCTTACCCCTCTCTGCTGTCCTGGACTCACGAGGTCTCAAAATTTTCCCTTCATCCTTTGGGTGACCTTCTGACCTGGAGCCTGACTTGGTCATGTTGGACCGTTCACTGCTGGAGGCATCACCAGAGTTACTGACCATTGCTGAGCAGAAAAAAAAAAAAAAATGGAATATATTTTATGGCAATGTTTAGATAACAAAAAAAGTTTTGGGAAATACCAAAGATGAACTCTCGTATCATTCAACACAGTTGGTCTCATTCAACATGGTTGGTCTCATTCAACACAGTTGGTCTCATTCAACATGGTTGGTCTCAATCAACACAATTGGTCTCATTCAACATGGTTGGTCTCACTAAATACAGTTGGTCTCATTCAACATGGTTGGTCTCATTCAACACAGTTGGTCTCATTCAATACAATTGGTCTCAATCAACACAGTTGGTCTCATTCAACACAATTGGTATCATTCAACACAAGTGGTCTCATTCAACACAATTGGTCTCATTCAATACAATTGTTCTCATTCAATATAGTTGGTCTCATTCAACACAGTTGGTCTCATTCAACACAATTGGTTTCATTCAACACGGTTGGTCTCATTCAACACAGTTGCTCTCATGCAACACAACTGGTCTCATTCAACAACATTGGTCTCATTCAACACAATTGGTCTCATTCAACACAGCTGGTCCCATTCAACACAGTTGTTCTCAATCAACACATTTGGTATCATTCCTTACAGTTGGTCTCATTCAACACAGTTGGTCTCAAGCAACACAATTGGTCTCATTCAATATGGTTGGTCTCAATCAACACAATTGGTCTCATTCAACATGGTTGGTCTCATTAAATACAGTTGGTCTCATTCAACATGGTTGGTCTCATTCAACACAGTTGGTCTTAATCAACACAGTTGGTCTCATTCAACAAAATTGGTATCATTCAACACAGTTGGTCTCATTCAAAACAAGTGGTCTCATTCAACACAGTTGGTCTCAATCAATACAATTATTCTCATTCAATACAGTTTTTCTCATTCAACACAGTTGGTCTCATTCAACACAATTGGTCTCATTCAACATGGTTGGTCTCATTCAACACAGTTGGTCTCATGCAATACAACTGGTCTTAATCAACACAGTTGGTCTCATTCAACTCAATTGGCATCATTCATTACAGTTGGTCTCATTCAACACAGTTCTCATTGAATACAGTTGGTCTCATTCAACACAGCTGGTCTCATTCAACACAGCTGGTCTCAATCAACACAGTTGGTCTCATTCAACACAATTGGTATCATTCATTACAGTTGGTCTCATTCAACACAGTTGGTCTCATTCAATACAGTTCATCTCATGCAACACAGTTGGTCTCATTCAACACAGTTGGTCTCATTTAATACAGCTGGCACTCTCATGCAACACAGTTGGTCTCATTCAACACAGCTGGGTCTATCCAAAACAGTTGGTCTCATTCAACACAGTTGGCTCTCAAGCAACACAGTTGGTCTCATTCAACACTGTTGGCTCTCATGCAACACAGTTGGTCTCCTTCAACACAGCTGGCTCTCATGCAACACAGTTTGTCTCATTCAACACAGCTGGCTCTCATGCAACACAGTTGGTCTCATTCAATACAGTTCATCTAATGCAACACAGTTGGTCTCATTCAACACAGCTGGCTCTCATGCAACACAGTTGGTCTCATCCAACACAGCTGGCTCTCATGCAACACAATAGGTCTCATTCAACACAGCTGGCTCTCATGCAACACAGTTTGTCTCATTCAACACAGCTGGCTCTCATACAACACAGTTGGTCTCATTCAACACAGCTGGCTCTCATGCAACACAGTTTGTCTCATTCAACACAGCTGGCTCTCATGCAACACAGTTGGTCTCATTCAACACAGCCGGCTCTCATGCAACACAGTTGGTCTCATTCAACACAGCCGGCTCTCATGCAACACAGTTGGTCTCATTCAACACAGCTGGCTCTCATGCAACAGTTTGTCTCATTCAACACAGTTGGTCTCATGCAACACAGTTGGTCTCATCCAACACAGCTGGCTCTCATGCAACACAGTTGGTCTCATTCAACACAGCTGGCTCTCATGCAACACAGTTTGTCTCATTCAACACAGCTGGCTCTCATACAACACAGTTGGTCTCATTCAACACAGCTGGCTCTCATGCAACACAGTTTGTCTCATTCAACACAGCTGGCTCTCATGCAACACAGTTGGTCTCATTCAACACAGCTGGCTCTCATGCAACACAGTTGGTCTCATTCAACACAGCTGGCTCTCATGCAACACAGTTGGTCTCATTCAACACAACTGGTCTTATTCAACACAGCTGGCTCATGCAACACAGTTGGTCTCATGCAACACAGTTGGTCTCATTCAACACAGCTGTCTCATATGCAACACAGTTTGTCTCATTCAACACAGTTGGCTCTCATGCAACACAGCTGGCTCTTATGCAACACAGTTGGCTCTCATACAACACAGCTGGCTCTCTTACAACACAGCTGGCTCTCATACAACACAGCTAGCTCTCATGCAACACAGCTGGTTCTCATGCAACACAGTTGATCTCATTCAACACAGCTGGCTCTCATACAACACAGCTGGCTCTCATACAACACAGCTGGCTCTCATGCAACACAGTTGGGCTCATGCAAACAGCCGGCTCTCATACAACACAGCCGGCTCTCATACAACACAGCTGGCTCTCATACAACACAGCTGGCTATCATGCAACACAGCTGGCTATCATGCAACACAGCTGATTCTCATACAACACAGCTGGCTCTCATACAACACAGCTGGCTCTCATACAACACAGCTGGCTCTCATGCAACACAATAGGTCTCATTCAACACAGCTGGCTCTCATGCAACACAGTTGGTCTCATTCAACACAGCGGGCTCTCATGCAACACAGTTGGTCTCATTCAACAAGAAGCTCTTCATATGTAACAAGAAGCTCTTCATGTGTAACAAGAAGCTCTTCATATGTAACAAGAAGCTCTTCACATACAAGAAAACATATCTGCAGAGACAGAATGTCATTATTCACAACTGTGACAGTATGTCCACACTGTCATGACAACTCCTATACTGTGATAGTCACACTCTACAAAATAACTCAACCCTCCCCCAACTGTCACGTGAACAAGTACCAAGCTTACATTTTTTGGTTACTGCCGCACTTCTGCCAGACGAAGGTTCCCTGTGTTTCTCTTTGACATCATCTGGAAGCAATGCACAGACACATTCAAGTGGCACCCACTTTTGGTGC